GAATTCATTTCATTCTTGTTGTTGTAATAATTATCTCTTCTGTACGTAATCCTTTAATAACAATGAGATACTTAAACAATGCGTGAAACGATGATATAGTTGCATCCTTTTTACCGAGTTATCGTTCTTCTCGTTCTTCCTTGTTTCAGTGGTTATTTGTTCGAGCAAAAGTGGTTTTCGTACTTTCCATTTATCGTTGCTGGATCTCATGGATATTGAATCGAGTTTGAAATTGGAAGGAATATTTTTTACGTTTATTTAAAAAAGAAAAATAATTTGATTGTTGAATCGTGAAAAAAAAATTTTGATAAATTCGTGTATATCTAAAGAAATGATGGATCCTTTTAAACAATTTGGATATTTTTATTACCTTTCCTCGTCAACAAGAAAGAAAATTAAGAATAAATTGTTTCCAATTTATCGCTTTATTTATTTCGAAACGTCACGATTTGATGAAAATTTCACGGATGAAATGTCACAAATGAATAAAATTCATTTCGTTTCAAGTTCGGCACGTTTCCTCATCGGTAACTCTTGTCGCTCCATTCGAAGACTAAAAAAGAACTCGAATAAATTGTTTAATTTTATTATCAAAGAAAGAAATGCCACGCTTTGATGAAAATTTATTCATCACGAAGCATTCCATCAATCAACATTTCATCCCTTTCTCATCGTCAGTGACTTTTTTCATTGCAGAAGATATATAAAAAAAAAAAAAGAAAGAAATGCTTTAATTTTATTATTAAAGGAAGGAACATCACGCTTCGATAAAAATTTATGTATCGAAAGTTTAAAAAATTTATGTGCGAAGGGAAGGAGTATTCATTTTCTTTAAAACTACAAGATGAGAAAGATTGGAAACAATAAGTCAAAACGAAAGAAGATTTCATCAGATAAAAATTTACGAGAAAATTAAAAAACCAATTGAATTTATTTAAGATAAAAATTATTCAAAGTAATAACCTCAAAATACCAACAATGAAAAATTTCATCACTATTTTATTGAAAAACGATGAAAATTCCATATACAAAATAAAAAAGAAATTGAAAGTACTGAATCAAAATCTATCCTCTTTCCTCATCGATATTTCTTTGCCTTGCATTTACTTCCACGAATTCCCATTTGGGAATTTAAGAACAAGAAGCTTTGCAAGAGAATCCTTGCCCCATTCTCCGACCTTCTATCCATACAATTGTTTCTGAATTTCGAATTTTCAAGTTGAACCGCATCATCCTCCGCATTTCACGAAAGAAAAATAAAATGGAACTTTTATCCCCGCGGAATTACATCTCGTTTCGTCGAGAAACAATTCCAGATTAATGCCGCGCGATTCCCATCAATGAAAAACGTAACATCGTCGATATACGAATTAAAGAAAATTCCACAAATGGACCGATGACATCGTAGTTAAATTTCGAAAAAAACATCGATTGAAATTTTAGTTATTCGCTTTCACTTTTGCGTCAAACCGTCAAAGCGTTGGCGTGGACGAATTGTCGGTGTGCGTGTGATCGATTTCAGAATCGAAATTCCAGAATCGATCGATCGACAATGGGATCGAGGATCGGCGCATGATGGCGCGCAACACAGTGGTTATAATAAATTTACCTTCGATACCCGTCCATGCAGGGAAAGGATACGAGATATTCATATTTATTTATGAGGAATGTACGCGACCCTATTGATTTTTCGACGTTAACGCCGCCGCCTCGTTATTCGAGCGCGCCCCCTTTCAGCTTTTCACGCGATTCCACCGACGAACAAAGCGGGCCTAGCCGGCAAAAGTCCAAAATGCGTGATGATCAATTTCATGGCCGCGGACCATGATTCAAATACGAAATTAGCGAATGGTGGGGAGGATTTTTGCACGTCGAAGTGATAAAAATAAATCAATTTTGATTCTTCGTGTAACAATGGAAATGAGACTTGTTCTTGGACTTGACAAAAATCGAGATTTTTTTTTGAACGAAGAAAAATTAAAAGATCGTGTTGGGAGATTGTATTAAAAGAAGTTTGGTTATGATTAACTTATGCTACTTGTGATTATGGTAAATAATTGTATTTGCTTATAATATGTTTTATGCTCATTTAGAAATTCTTTTTCTAGTTTATCAGTCAAATTACTTTTCTGATCGTATTTATGTTTCTTGTGTGATGTAAAGTTTCTTCTATTATATTTTTTTACTATTTGTTTTTTTTATTAATTTATTTATATTCATTGATCTATAGTTATTTGCCTGAACTCATTTTTCTCTATTTTAAGATTCTTTACTTTTACTTTTTTTATTTAGATTGGATAGAATTTTAACTATTGCAATAAATTTTGTTTATATTTTCCTCGATATAAAAATAATTTAATCCCGGTTTTATAAAAGATTGCGGATAATTTCGTTCGATTTTTAAATAAATTCGATGCGAAATTTTAGTGGAATTGAAAGCATCTGAGGAGAACAAATAACGATGGAAAATTCATTTCAATATTTGTTAAAATAAATTCCAGGTATCGCGAAGTTATGGATTATTGGAACAAAGTTCCAATTTCAATCACCTTTCGTATTTATATTTTTGAATATCAATTAAAATATATATTGTTATGATTATTTATATGTTACAAATCATCGGAGAATGATGAATACATAAATTTTTCTTTTTTTTTTAAAGCTGCATCAATGCTCAATACCACGATGGATGACCACTTGAAAAAATCGCGACGGTGGTCTTTTTAATCGCGTTGTAAAAATAAACTTGTGACAACAAATTTATTGACAAATTGGAATTTTTTTCTGTTTCAGAATTTTCTATCTCTACACCTCCCTGTACTTACGTGAGATACAGCAGCCTGGAGGATGTAAGGCCGCAGGAGTTAGGGTTTCATCAACTGGAGTTCACCCCCATCGTCGTTTCGAAAATAAGGTAAGAGTTGATTGACCTATGACACGCATGCAATAATTAATTCACCGTAAACAGGTCTATTATAACACTCTTTTTACATGATGCATTTTTATCGGAATTAAATAACCCTTTTGTTACTGGAATAATGACGATGCTTTCTGAAACACGTTTAATGGAAAATCTATTTTAAAAGAGGGCAAGTTCTTTGTAGATGAAACTTATTGGAAAATGATTGTTCTACATTTTATTTACACGTGTATGAGAGATTTAATAATAGTATTTTTTTCCCTTTTTTTTTTATATCGTATATATATATATAAATGTAGAACACGAAGTAATAATAATATATGTAATAATAATAATTGAAAAATAAGTTTACAGAATTTTTCAATATGATTATTATGCAGGAAAGAAGAGCTGTTGTAAGAAAAATAGAGTAATTTAGAGTATGAAAAATGAGATGGATTTAATTAAATGTAAATTAAAAGAGGTATTTAATTAAAGAGCGCGTGTCGAGTCTCTGTGATTAGATGGTAGCACGAATTCGAAATTCGCGTGTCTGGGTGTTCATTGTATTCACGTCACGGATTTTCGTTCTTTGTAGTTTCTTTAATCCCGTAATTACTCAACTGCCGCGAACAAATTACGTGGCGTGTCGTTATTACAGCGTTTAATTAAATGATAATCGACATTAGAGCCGTGTTCTAATTAAATTGAGGCTAAAGAATTATTTATAGGAGTAGAGAGAAATTTCCATTCAATTCGAATCGAATTGTAAGAAAAATCAATATCAATTTATATTATCGTTCGCAAAATTATTCTACAATTTCGATACGTTATTTTTTCTTTTTTTTTTTTTTAAACTTAGTCTGTCAAGTTAAAAATTCCCGAAAACATTTCATCCCCTTTTCGCGAAAATTCCATCAACGAGACCGACGAAAAATCAGCGAAATGTGGTTATTCACGATAAAAGTAACGAACGGCAGAAACAGGAAAAAAATTCCCTCGATATCATTTATATCTCCATTCTCAAATAATTCCATAATTCCAATCCACATTACTACCTTTTTTTCTTTTTTTTTCATTTTCAATCCTTCGAAACCAACTCTTTCAAATTTAAAATTGCCAATCCTCTTTTCACAAAAATCCCTATATGATTATTCACAAATAGGGAACAAAAAAAAAATATCTTCCAATACCATTTACATCTCCATTCTCAAATAATTCCATGATTTCCATCCACATTATCCTTTTTTTCATTCATCCTCATCCCTTCAAATCTTTGGTTTTTTAAAAAATTCCTTCCCACCCCTGAAAAAAATATTTCAATATCATCCTCAAATAGAATCCCTTTTCACAAAAATCCCATTGACGAAACATTAAAAAAATCTATAAAATATCGTGGAATCATTTATGAAAATAATCATAATAATTCCAGAATGGAATTAAAAAATAGAAGAAAAAAGAAATTTCGATATTACATTTATTCATTTATCTTTACATTCTCATTTATTATTCTCACCCCTTCGAGATCAATACTCAAATTTAAAATTTCCAATTTTTTTTCGAGGAAACATTCGAGGAAAAAAAAAAAAAGAAAGAAACAAATCAATGTATCGATTATTCACGACAAAGGTAACCATCCACCAGTTCCGTGAACATGAATTAAACGCGAATATCGGTTTAACGCGATAATTAATTCGAAATCAGCAGAACCAGCCGGAGATTAACAGACAGTCGAGCCCGGCTTTTAGTTGTCTCGCTCTACTTACCCACCACGCACCACCCTGCCGCCGCCACGTATCGTGTAGTTGGTGCAGATAAACGCGAATACTTCATAAGCTCGTAATCCTGAAACAAAACGGCGGCCAAGAACAAAAGAGATCCGCTCCCTGCCTCCCAACCCTTTGGATACGCGTTGGCAACAAACGTCGAGGATCGATGTCTTTCTTCGCCCCTTCTTTCTTCTACTCCATTCTCGGTCTGTTTAAGTAAGTCTTAACCGAGTCTGGTTATTAAAAGTCGCTTCTTGCCGGCATCGCTGCCAACTCTGGATTCTTTTGTTTGCCAAGTTGAATGGATGCGAGGGATTAATGATTTAAGCGGGGGTGGGGGTGGATGAAGATATCGTACGAAGCCTCAGACCGATTCCACGTGGCCACGAGTCGATAGAATTATTCGTTCGAGGATCTTTCTTCCGATTTGGAAGAATATCGTGAGTATTTTAGACACGGTCCGCATCTGTGAATTTTTTCAAAAGAGCAAGTGATTCTGTGAATTCAGATTCAATATATTATATTATATTATCAATTTATTTCATTTTCTAGACAATTCGAAAGAAAAACATAAAAACATTTTCTCATGGATCTACTAAACTTTTAAAATCGGTGGGTCTTTGCCAACATTTTGCAAAAAAAAGGAGAAAGAGAGAGAGAGAGAGAGAGAGAGAGAACAAATTTACATGAAACAGTATACAGGGTGGAAAAAAGCGAGAGATGTTAAATTATTTGTTGTGTGTATCCACGTTTTCGACTAAAGAAAAATAAATATACCGGCAGCTTTACCTCTTTTATTTAGGTTATCGACGATCGTCTACTGTTACCTCTGCCGCATCCACAGCCACTATTTGCGGTTGATATTTACTTTAGACGTTACTAAAAAATACATCGGAAAAAAATTCACGGTTCAGACGCGAGGAAAATTTTCTCTCTCTCTCT